TGCGCCCGAGGGGACGGCCCCGAAAGAGGCCCCAGGTCGTCGGGTACTTTGCGCCGGCATGCCCTTTCTAGACCCGGAGCTGAAGAGGAGAAAATGAGGACGCGGCGGGCGGGCTGTTTTTATTCTTGGCCTACCTTTCAGGGATGTTGTGTAGGGAAATAAAAGATGCCCACAGCACAGTAGCTGTATAGAGTTGGTGCTGAGTGGTGTTGGCCGCAGTAGTGGTGGTTACTGTCTGTCAAGCCAACCCCAGCTTCTGCTTCCCTTGGCAGCTCTTTCAGAGGTGGCTTCGCCTTCCTACAACTGAGATAAGCAGCCCCAAGTCACTCGCTTAAGGAGAGCTAGCACGCCCGGTCTCCTGGCTCCTAATCTAGCACCGTAGCCACTAGACCAGACTGCTCTCTTCTTGTGCTGAGTGGTGGTGATGGCGGCGGCGGTCTGTCAAGGCCACCCTGACTCCTGGTAACCACCAGGACAAGATTTTCCTGAGCTGGGCCGGGGACTGAGGACTGGCCTTGTCCGGACCAGAAACCTGACAGAGCAGCATGCTGGCTGAGGTAGATCCCTTCCAGAAGGAGGCCACAGAAATGTCAAGCCACTTTGATGGCAAAGTGAAGGTGTTTCCAGGGGGAGGAAAGGACCCCAGCGTGCTGATCAACTGGGAAGGGGACACGAGGAGGACACAGAGGAAGCCCTGAGCTGCTTTTGCCCCCCAAGCGGAGAAGAAACAGCCCTGGAGCATCAGCAGGATGAGTGCCACGCGCAGGGGGGCTCCCAACTCCCGCGCTGAGAGGCGCCTCCGCCTGGCCAGAAGAGTCCTCTGCCTCCAGGCCCCGGGTGACCTCCTCCACTACCAAGAGCGACCTGGGGCACTATGCCTCCGGTACATCCTGACGCCACCTGCTTCGCAGCACTCACCTCCCCCATGCCCGGCCGGAGCATCCACGGAGTTCCTCCCAGGGCCCGACTCGGCAGGGACCTCGGGAGACTGAGGCCGCGCTGGCCTCAGAAGGCACTTGCCGGCAGCGGTCAAGTGCTCCACATAGCTGGGCGCCCCGTCATGCCTGCCCAGGATCCACCTGCTGAGGCGCTTGAGAAAGGCAGGTTGATCCGGCTCGCAAATTGCCTGTGACCAGGCAACTGACTAACAGGTCTTGCCTCCTTACAAGCTGATTAGAGATTAACTTCCGTGCAGCTACAAACAGCTCCAGGCCAAAAGTCCAATCAGAGCAATGGGCAGGGAGGGGCAAGGCCTGGGCTTCTCCCAAGGGTCATTTCCAGGAGAAAGTCTCTGCCAGGGTGGGGGAGGGAGAGGAGAGGGGGAGGGGAGAGTCCCCTCCAGATTCCCGCCCGGCAGCCTGCTTGGAACAGACCCCAGGGACAAAAGCCACCATGGGGACTCGGAAGGGAGAGGTGGGCCTTGGCCAAGGCACCTGCCGCGATTGTGGCTGCCAGCTGAAATCTCCTCTTACCGGCAATATTCCTGAAGTGGCTGTGCCACTCTTTTGCCAGTCTGGCCCTTCCTCAGCCACGCCTCCCCCCGCCCCGGCTTTATCCTTGTGCTCACACCTTCCATCTCCTCCGCTCTCGCTTCCGTTTCCAGAAGCAGCAAATACCCCTTGCGTACCTCTGTCTCGCAGACAGGGAATTCCGGTTCCAAGATTGGGGCTGCCAGAAAGATTGTAAATTGCTCCTGTCAGTTGAGCTTTGCTTGCGCTTGCCAGGTGGAGTTTCCGAGGAAGCCTTATTGCTCCCAACACGTGCCCTGCAAAGATCTGAGGCAGAATTGCTGGAGGGCCTGGTTTATTGGGAGGGTGAGATGTATTTCAAGGATGTGCCAGGCCTCGATTCTTCAGTAATAGCTGATGTGCAATCTTGTTTTCCACCTTGGCATCTCATTCTCTGCATTATTTGTACTAATGAATGGTAATTCAGTAATCTCCTCCTGAATTACTGTGACGAAGGGACAGAAGGAAGCTGAGGTTACGTGGACATGCTTGCCTCCACTGGAAGGTCAGCTTGCCTGGGTCTGCTCCCAGCAGCATATGGGGCATGTTGACCCCTGTAAACCTCCATGATAAGGCCTTTCTGGTGGCAGCCATGGAGCCCCCTAACTAATGTGCTGCTATTTCCATCAACCTGGTTCTTGTACGGGCTTCCTAATTCTCTGCACATCATTGAATAATGGAAGAAGACTGGAAAACAATCTAGTTTAATCCTCAGACTGGTGCAGGAACCCCCTACTTCAGCATCCCCTACAGACCCCCTCCAGCCCCTGCAGAAACATCTCCTTGGAAGAAAAGTTGGCCGGCCACCTCCTGGGGAAGTCCATCCATTGCTGAACAACTCTTAATGTCTGATTACAATCTGCTTCCTTGTAATTTAAAACCATTGTTTCTTGTCTTGTCAATTGGAACAGTCGTAGAAGTCTGTCGCCGGGCTAAACGCATCCAGCGCGTCTGGCTCTTCCTCATAACGTTTCCTTCCAGACTGCCCTGCTCCGGACACCCTCCGGTCCCTTGTTGCCCTTTCTGAACCCGGAGCGGTCTTCTGGGCGCAGCCTGAGCGGGGCAGAACAAGCGCTCTTCCTGCGCGTTGCCCTCTGCTTCTGCCGAGGCACCTGCGCACGCATCTCACTCGGAGGTCAGCTTGGGATCCCTGGAGACCCCAGATCCGTCTCATGTACTTTGCTGCCCAGCAAGGTTTTCCCCCTCCCCCACATCCAAAGTCATGCCTTTGATTTTTTCTCTTTCCAAATGTGGAAGTTTCTGTTTGTCCCTCTTGAAATTCTGGTTTCTGCCCAATGCTCCAGCTTGCAAAATCCTCCTGAATCACGAGACTGTCCTCTCTCCCCTTTGTAGATTATTTTCTAACCCCTAATCCATGCTGTTTATAAATGTGCGTAAGGGAGCCTGCAGTTGCCACTGGACACTTTTTGCCAGCTCCACAGAGTCACTGGCGCGCCCTAATTAGTGCACAGCCCCCCCATGGCTCTTGGAAGTGCACCTCCTATGGATCCAGAATTCTTTCCCCATTTTCCCCCTGGACCCCCTGCTCCCTCCTTGGGGCAAAGGGGAGGCGCCAGGGGCCCTCTTGCTGGGTGGGCCCGGCAGAGCCACCAGCCTGGCTGCTTCCAGATGCAGCTTGGCTTGAGCGGTTCCTGCCCAAATGCTATTGGGGAGTCGCCCAAAGACCTACCAACCTTACATGTTTTTCCAATCATTTTTGCTATTTCGGAGCAAAAGGAGAAGAAAACAATCAGGGGTTTTCACTTGGATTTTAGAAGCATGATCTTGCAGGGAGGGGGCTGTACGGGAACTGCCCCCCAAGCAACACAAAGTGGGAGAAATGCAGCCTTCGTGGCCCTCAGCTGCAGGCCCCCTGCTGATGCTGCCGAGGAAGCCTCTGGCCCGTTTCTTCCAGTCAGTCACTGCTTGTAGGCTAGAACAGTTCTTCCTAAGGCTGAAACGGGCCCCCGCCCCCTCCAGAAAGCCCCTTCTTTTCAAAAGGGCCACAACTGTCAAGCCTCCTTGCCAGGAACTCTCCAGAAACAACATCATGATGGAGCAGCTGAGATGGGTTTGGTCGTCTGGCCGGCAGCTGCCCAGAGACACCCGGCAAGGCCGCCGTGCTGCCCTCCGGCCTCCAGGTGAGACCCTGAAGATGCAACCTTTCTGAGAAAGCCAAAGGCCACCAGAGAGGTCTGTGTTTCTGAGGGGCAGACGAAGGAGCCTGTCTTGGCGGGACCTTGCAGGACAATTGTACAGTGAACGTCTCTGAAGAGACAAAATCGCAACTGTGGCCTTCGAGCTCCTTTTAGCACCACCTGAGTGACCGTCTGGGAAGGCAAGACGGACCTTTGAGAGGGGAGCCTGCATCTGCACCCAGGTCTCTCAGAGGGTTAGGAAGGAAGTGACCCCTTGCCCCGTCGGGGAGGGTGGGGATGGTTTCCCTGCAGCCGAAGGAAGCCGCGCAGCGTCTGGGAACTGGTTTGTTGGTTGGGGTTATATTCCACCTTCTCCAAAGTCCTCCTGGGTCCCCAGGCAGCTCACGTGGCTGAGAGTGGACTTGAGCCCAGGCCTCCTTCGCCACTGTGCCACGTTGGGGCTTGAAAACAAGTAACATGAAATGAGTGAGCATGCATCCCACGAGGGATCAGTTAACACGGGTCATTTCACTGCATTTTTAAAAAATACTCCAGTCATTCTGCAGGAAGTCAGAGTTCCCCAGCAGAGACTGCTCCCTCCCTTGCTCTGAAGATCCTGTTCTGGGAAAGAGCCTTCCTTGTCCAGGTGGGCCGGGACCGCAGCTCCCAGAAT